ATTGTTCCTGGGGTGTGGGGGGGTGATTGTACCGGGGGTGTAGGGGGGATTGTACCCGGGGAGTGGGGGGGATTGTTCCCGGGGGAGTGGGGGGGCTTGTTCCTGGGGATTGTGGCGGATTGTACCCGGGGTGTGGGGGGTATTGTACCCGGGGGGTGGGGGGATTGTACTCGTTATGTTTGTACGTGGAGTGCATAAGATATCATTTGAAAGTGATGTACATCACATCAACAATGTTACCCTCACCTGCCTTCTCTGTTAACTCATCTAACAACTGTAGCATGGTGGTAGTGTCACTGTCTCTGAACAAGGAGGCCCAGGTTCAAGCCCCACATGCTTGAGAGGTGTGCAATAACATCTCTGAACATGTTAATTTGGTAATATCTTGACACACAAATAGAAATATTTTGCTTCCCTTTTACATTAACTGTCAGTCTCTTCTCATAAACTCTCTTTGTTTCTCTTGTTTGTTATGGTTTCCCCAGAAGTTGAAGCCCAAAGTGTCAAGGAAAAGCTGCAGTCCCTGAGGTCAAGGTTCACTCAGCTGCAGGCTAACATTGAAGAAAATGGAAATGGTTATTGGGCGAGGGAGAGAACTGACCTTTCGTACTGCAATCAAAAGTTGGTTAACATCTGGTTACAGAGGATAGAGAAGGATGTCTCCTCACTATCTTGTCAGTGCACTGTCAGCCTGAGGGGAGTCTGCGATCACACTGAATGGGACAAGGTCAAATTTCACCAGTTTCTCAACAGACCTGATCAATTACTTATTTTAGAACTGCTGTTCACTCTTTTCTCTATCACCGTGGCTCACAGGCAAGCCACTGATTTTTTTTTTATTGACTCTGGGATGTGGGTGTCTCTGGCTGGGCCCAGCATTTATTGCCTGTCCCTAGTTGCCCCTTGAGAACATGGTGGTGAGCTGCCTTCTTGAATCACTGCAGTCCACCTGCTGTGGGTTGACCCAAAATGTCTTTAGGGAGGGAATGACCCAGGGACAGTGAAGGAACGGCGATATATTTCCAAGTCAGGGTAGTGAGTGACTTGGAGGGGAACTTGCTGGGGCGGTGTTCCCATGTATCTGCTGCCCTTGTCCTTCTAGATGGAAGTGATTGTGGGTTTGGAAGGGATTTGATTGATGTCAGAAATCTTCTTGATTGCAGCTTGAGAAGGTGCTTCAGGAGGAGTTGTGCTGGGTGTGTGGTGTTGAAGAGATGCTGAAACAGGTTAATGTAGTCCCACTTTCCCAGGAGGCAGTCTGTGATCAGCTACAGAATCACAAGGTACATCTGACAAAGAAACCTTGCCGCGTTAAACACTGCAGAAACAACATTCAAACCTGGAGCTCGGTGACCAGTGGTGATCCGCAGGGATCTGTTCTGGGATCTCTGCTCTTTGTGATCTTTATAAATGACTTGGATGAGGAAGTGGAAGGGTGGGTTAGTAAGTTTGCCGATGATACGAAGGTTGGTGAAGTTGTAGACAGCGTGGAGGGCTGTTGTAGATTGCAACGGGACACTGACAGGATGCAGAGTGAGCAAAGAAGTGGCAGATGGAATTCAACCCAGAAAAGTGTGAAGTGATTCATTTTGGAAGGTCGAATTTGAATGCAGAATACAGGGTTAATGGCAGGATTCTTGGCAGTGTGGAGGAACAGAGGGATCTTGGGGTCCACGTCCATAAATCCCTCAAAGTTGCGACCCAAGTTGATAGAGTTGTAAAGAAGGCGTATGGTGTTGGGGAATTGAGTTTAAGAGCCGCGAGGTTATGCTGTAGCTCTGTAAAACTCTGGTTAGACCACACTTGGAATATTGTGTTCAGTTCTGGTCACCTCATTATAGGAAAGATGTGGAAGCTTTGGAGAGGGTGCAGAGGAGATTTACCAGGATGCTGCCTGGACTGGAGGGCAGGTCTTATGAGGAAAGGTTAAGGGAGCTAGAGCTTTTTTCATTGGAGTGAAGAAGGATGAGAGGTGACTTGATAGAGGTTTACAAGATGATGAGACGCATAGATAGAGTGGACAGTAAGAGACTTTTTCCCAGGGCGGAAATGACTTTTATGAGGGGACATAATTTTAAGGTGATTGGAGGAAGGTATAGGGGAGATGTCAGAGTTAGGTTCTTCACACAGAGAGTGGTGGACGTGTGGAATGCACTGCCAGCAGTGGTAGTGGAGTCAGATACTTTAGAGACTTTTAAGCAACTCTTGGATAGGCACATGGAGGATAGTAAAATGTAGGGTATGCAGGGTAGTTTGATCTTAGTAGGATAATAGGTCGGCACAATATCGTGGGCCAAAGGGCCTGTATTGTGCTGTGCTGTACTGTTCTATGTTCTAACTGCAATCTCACTCACACTGCCACTCGCTGCCCCATTTGCAGTGAGCATTGCCAGTCTCCCAGCAATCCACAATCCTGCCCACCCACTCCCACAATCAGCTGGTCAGGTATCAATCAGGATGCAATGAGGGAAAGATCCCGGTGAGAAATCTCACTCAGCTGCTGGATCCAGTAGATGGGATCACAGAATCTGGGTGAGTAACCTCAAGCCTCGGGCTTCTATTGGCTCCTATACTGGGATCCCTGAACATCCCGGAAGCACCCTGTGCCAGGATCAACAAGCAGGTAGGAGGCAGGAGTGGAAGGAGAGGGACAGGAAGTGGGGGGCTGCGGGCAGGGAGAGGGCGTGGCAGAGGGAGAGGGAAAGGGAGAGGGTCAGGGAGAGCAGGAAGATATTGCAAGGGAATGGAATCGGGAGAGGTGTTATGATGCAGATGGAGGCAGTGAATGGTGTACTTTCATGTGAATCACTGATCCATAATACAGCCCGATCTTGTATTTGTTTTAGGCCATTGCAGTTCAGACAACCCAATGCCAACACAGAATGGCTGAATTGTTCACCAGCTTCAAAAAGATCCTGGGGAAATGTTCACAATCCAGGCAGGAAACTACTCAGGTAAGTAACAACTTAATTTGACATCATTCACTTTCACAGTGTAGAGAGAACTTTACTCTGTATCTAACTCCGTGCTGTCCCTGTCCCTGGGAGTGCTTGATGGGGGACAGTGTAGAGAGAACTTTACTCTGTATCTAACCCAATGCTGTCCCTGTCCCTGGGAGTGTCTGATGGGGACAGTGTAGAGGGAGCTTTACTCTGTATCTAACCCTGTGCTGCCCCTGTCCTGGGATAGTCAGCCATGGATAACTAAGAAAATAAAGGGGGGTATCAAATTGAAAACTAATGCATCCAAAGTGGCAAAGATTAGTGGGAGATGAGAGAATTGGGAAATCTTTAAAGGTCAACAGAAAGCCACAAAAGCAGTTGTAAAGAAAAGTAGGATAGATTATGAGAGTAAACCAGCTCAGGATATGAAAACAGATAGCAAAAGTTTCTACAACTATATAAAACAAAAAAGAGTGTCTAGGTAAACATTGGTCCTTTAGAGGGTGAGAAGGGGGATTTAATAATGGGAAATGAGGAAATAGCCAAGGCATTGAGCAGGTGTTTTGTGTCAGTCTTCACAGTGAAGGAAATGAATAACCTGCCAGTAATTGATGACAAGGAGACTAAGGTAGGTGAGGACCTAGAAACGATTGTTATCACTAAAGAGGTCACGTTGGACAAGCTAATGGGGCTAAAGGTAGACAAGTCCCCTGGCCCTGATGGAATGCACCCCAGGGGCCTAAAAGAGATGGCAGGGGAAATAGCAAATGCGCTCGTGGTAATTTATCAAAATTCGCTGGACTCTGGGGCAGTTCCAACAGATTGGAAAACAGCAAATGTGAGGTCACTGTTTAAACAAAGTGTTAGACAAAAGGCAGGTAAATATAGGCCCGTTAGCTTAACTTCTGTAGTGGGGGAAATGCTTGAATCTGTAATTAAGGACGAAATAGCAAGACATCTGGATTGATGCACCAGGAAAAGGTGTTTCCCCTTCTGCGTGTGTCTATGATCACAGGGCATCATCCCAGAATGAGGGGACATCCATTTCAGACAGAGATGAGGAGGAATTTCTTCTCTGAGTGCAGTGAATCTGGGGAATTCTTTACCACAGAGGGCTGTCAAGGCTGGGTTATTAAGTATCTTCTGGCTGAGAATGACAGATGTTATCAGGAAGGCAATTGAGGGGAAAAGGCAGGAAAGTGGAGTTGAGGATGATCAGGTCAGCTGTGAGTTCTTTGAAAGGTGGAGCAGATTGAATGGGCTGAATGGCTTCATTCTGCTCCTGCATCTTATGGACACCTCAAATCCACATTCCTACCTCCCCCTGATTCCAAGGACACCCAGGTCCCTTTGTCCATTGACATTTTCCAACCCCACCCCCCATCAGATATGGAATACTGTGCACATGTGTTTGTGATAGTCTGTGAGGAATTGCTGAGTGCGTGCTGTTTGTGAACAGGCCCTGCTGCGAACTTTGTGTGATCAATGTGAAGCTATCAGTCTGCAGAACACAGGGATCTTGTTGGGATTGGAGAGAGCCAGTTTCCTGCTCACTCAGTTTTCTGAAACAGACACAGAACTCCGCAGCTGCCTGCAAGAAACACAGTCACGGATAGCACAGCTTCATCCCATTGTGATCGACCGGCAAAACCTCAGTCAACAGCAGGAGCTGTCACAGGTAATGGAAAAGTGGGGAATGGGCAAACACGTAACAAACACAATAACAGCTCAGCAGAATACAAATCCAACCCGACCAATTACTGCCCCATCAGTCTCCTCTCGATCATCAGTAAAGTGATGGAAGGTGTCAGTAACAGTGCTATCAAACAGCACCTGCTCAGCAATAACCTGCTCAGTGACGCCCAGTTTGGGTTCCGCCAGGGCCACTCAGCTCCTGATCTCATTACAGCCTTGGTTCAAACATGGACAAAAGAGCTGAATTCCAGAGCTGAGGTGAGAGTGACAGCCCTTGGTATCAAGGCTGCATTCAACCGAGTGTGGCATCAAGGACCCCGAGCAAGATTGGAGTCATTGGGTATCAGGGGGCAAATGCTCCGGTGGGTGGAGTCATACCTGACACAAGGGGTCAAGGCTAAGACAGACAGATTTTTAATTGGAAAGGGAATCAAAGGTTATGGGGAAAAACAGGAAATTGGAATTGAGGATGACCAGATTAGCAGTGAGTGAGTGTGCACAGCAGGGAGTGATTGTGAGTGTGTCCAGTGTGAATAAAGCGGAGATTGAGTGCGAGTGTGTACAATAGTGGGTACAGCAGTGAGTGTGTACACCAGTGAGTGAGTGTGTATACAGCATTGTGTAACCAGTGAGTGTGTACAGCAGTGAGTGTGTACAGCAGTGATGTGTACAGCAGTGAGTCTGGGTGTGAGTGTGTACAGCAGTGATGTGTACAGCAGTGAGTCTGGGTGTAAGTGTGTACAGCAGTGTACAGCAGTGAGTGTGTAGAGCAGAGAGTGCGTACATCGGTGAGTGACTGAGTCTGTCCAGCAGTGTGTGTGTGTGTGTGTGTGTGTGTGTGTACAGCAGTGAGTAAGTGTGAGCATGTACAGCAGTGAATGTGAGAGTGCAGAGTCTCTGATGGTTGTGCCTCTTTATGCAGCAGCTGCAAAGGTCTCTGAAGGAACATGAGCCTGTGTGTGCTGTGCTGATCTCTGTCAGTTCCCAGTTGGCCCTACTCAATGCCAGTGATGGACTGTATTTTGCTGACACAGCAGCCAAGCTCCAGGAAGATTATCATCTTCTGTAGCATCAACTGCAAGAGGCAGCAATCTCACTGGAGAAGACCTTCCGCCCTTATCTCCAGGTATCTCAGTATCTTATAGAGAACTGTCTCCCAACAATGAGAGATTCTCAACAGAATCTCCTCAGATCTATGATAGAGCCTGGGCCTGGACTCAAACTCTGTCAGGAGTGAGAGGAGAGTGAGGGAGCATCCTGCTGAGAGATCCACCTCCTCAAAGGATCAACCACCTTGAGGGATCCACCTCCCTAGGGATAATCCACCTGAGGGATCAACCTCATTGATAGAGTAAAATCTCAAGGGATCAGCATCCTGAGGAACCGATCTTCATGAGGGATTGACGTCCTTGAGGAGTCTTCCTTCGGGAGGGATCAGTTGTGATCTCCCTGTTCCTGGTGTTTTGTGTTTCCTACTCTAACTCTGGTTGTGTTTCCAGTTGTTGGAGCAGGTGGCTGTGCTTTCTGATTCACTGCAGAAGGTCCAGGATCGAGTACAGAAACCATCAGGATTCCCCAGTGACTCTGAGAGAATCCAAGAACAGATTGAGGAAAATCGATCGATCTTTGAGGAACTGGGAAGCTTACGGAGAGCTCCGGATAACGTCATTGCCCAGGGGAAGGAGCTGTTGGCAAACAGCCAGAACCCAACAACTGATGCCAGGAATGGAGGCAAGTCCTCAGCAAAAACCCTTTGCCCTTGTTACTGAGGGGCAAAGGGAGGGAGAGGATGGAGGGGAATAGGGGTGCTGAAGGAGGGTCTGACGAGTTACAACTCTGGTATCTACCCGATTAATGTGGAAAATTGCCCAAGTATGTCCTGTACATAAAAAACAGAACAAATCCAACCCGGCCAATTACCGCCCCATCAGTCTCCTCTCGATCATCAGTAAAGTGATGGAAGGTGTCAGGAACAGCGCTATCAAGCAGCACCTGCTCAGCAATAACCTGCTCAGTGACGCCCAGTTTGGGTTCCGCCAGGGCCACTCAGCTCCTGACCTCATTACAGTCTTGGTTCAAACATGGACAAAAAAGCTGAATTCCAGAGGTGAGGTGGGAGTGACTGCCCTTGACATCAAGGCTGCATTCAACCGAGTGTGGCATCGAGGAGCCCGAGTAAAACTGGAATCAATGGGTATCAGGGGGCAAACGCTCCGGTGGTTGGAGTCTTACCTGACACATAGGAAGATGGTTGTGGTTGTTGGAGGTCAGTCATCTCAGCTCCAGGACATCTCTGCAGGAGTTCCTCAGGGTAGTGCTTCAGCTGCTTCATCAATGACCTTCCCTCCATCATAAGGTCAGAAGTGGGATGTTCGCTGACGATTGCACAATGTTCAGCACCATTCGTGACTCCTCAGATACTGAAGCAAACAAATGCAACAAAATCTGGACAATATCCAGGTTTGGGCTGACAAGTGGCAAGTGACATTCGTGCCACACAAATGCCAGGCTATGACCATCATAAGAACATAAGAACTAGGAGCAGGAGTAGGCCATCCGGCCCCTCGAGCCTGCCCCGCCATTTAATAAGATCATGGCTGATCTTTTTGAGACTCGGCTCCACTTACCCGCCCACTCACCATAACCCTTAATTCCTTTACTGTTCAAAAATTTATCTCGCCTTGCCTTAAAAACATTCAGCGAGGTAGCTTCAACCACTTCACTGGGTAGGGAATTCCACAGATTCACAACCCTTTGAGTGAAGAAGTTCCTCCTGACCTCAGTCCTACATCTGCTTCCCTTTATTTTGTGGCGATGCCCTCCAGTCCTAGTTTCACCTGCCAGCGGAAACAACCTCCCTGCCTCCACCTTATCTATTCCCTTCATAATCTTATATGTTTCTATAAGATCTCCCCTCATTCTTCTGAATTCCAATGAGTATAATCCCAGTCTACTCAGTTTCTCCTCATAATCCAACCCTCTCAACTCTGGGATCAACCGAGTGAATCTCCTCTGCACCCCCTCCAGTGCTAGTATATCTCTTCTCAAGTAAGGAGACCAAAACTGCACACAGTACTCCAGGTGTGGCCTCACCAGGACCCTATACAGCTGCAGCATAGCCTCCCTGTTTTTAAACTCCATCCCTCTAGCAATGACAGACAAAATTCCATTCGCCTTTTTAATTACCTGCTGCACCTGCAATCCTACTTTTAGCGGTTCATGCACAAGGACACCCAAGTCCCTCTGCACAGCAGCGTACTGCAATTTTTTACCATTTAGAACATAGTCCATTTTGCTGTTATTCCTACCAAAATGGATGACCTCACACTTATCAACATTGTACTCCAGTAAGAGACAATAATCACCAATAAGAGACAATCTAACCACCATCCCTTGACATTCAATGGTGTTACCATCACTGAATCCCCCACCATCAACATCCTGGGGGTTACCATTGACCAGAAACTCAACTGGACTCACCACATTAACACAGTGGCTACAAGAGCAGGCCAGAAGCTGGGAATACTACAGCAAGTAACTCACCTCCTGACTCCCCAAAGCCTGTCCCACCATCTACAAGGCACAAGACAGGAGTGTGATGGAATACTCCCCACTTGTCTGGATGGGTGTAGCCCCAACAACACTCAAGAAGCTTGACACCATCCAGGACAAAGCAGCCGCTTGATTGGCACCACATCCACAAACATCCACTCCCTCCACCACCGACGCTCAGTCGCAGCAGTGTGTACTATCTACAAGATGCACTGCAGAAATTCACCAAAGATCCTCAGACCAACACCTTCCAAACACACGACCACTTCCATCTTGAAGGACAAGGGCAGCAGATACATGGGAACGCCACCCCCTGCAAGTTCCCCTCCAAGTCACTCACCATCCTGACTTGGAAATATATCGCCATTCCTTCACTGTCACTGGGTCAAAATCCTGGAATTCCCACCCTCAGGGCTTTGTGGGTCAACCCACAGCAGGAGGACTGCAGTGGTTCAAGAAGGCAGCTCACCCCCACCTTCTCAAGGGCAACTAAGGATGGGCAATAAATGCTGGGCCCAAGCAGTGATGCTCACATCCTACAAAATGAATAGAAAAAAAAAATTGGGAGTTCTGGAGTCCATGGAGAGAATGGCTGAGAACATGAAAGACAGTGAGGGTAGAGGACAGAATAGGACATAATGTCTAGAGAGTGGATTGGGGCAAGAGGGTCTGAGTTCAGCAATCTGCTGGGATATCATCAGGACAGTGAGAGCTGTGTGAGAGGGAGAGAGGGGCGACCAAATGGACAAACACATGGAAACATAGAAGTGTACAAAATAGGAGCAGGAGCAGGCCATTTGGCCCTTCGAGCCTGCACCACCATTCAATATGATCATGGCTGGTCATGCAATTTCAATATCCCATTCCCGTATTCTCTCCATACCCTGAGGAGGTGATGGCCAAGGGTATTATCACTGGACTGTTAATCGAGAGACACAGATAGTGTTCTAGGGACCTGGGTTTGAATCCTGACACGGCAGATAGTGGAATTTGAATTCAATAAAATATCTGGAATTAAGAATCTAATGGTGACCATAAATCCATCTGGTTCACCAATGTCCTTTAGGGAAGGAAACTGCATCCTTACCTGGTCTGGCCTGCATGTGACTCCAGACCCACAGCAATGTGGTTGACCCTTAACTGCCCTCTGGGCAATTAGGGATGGGCAATAAATGCTGCCTAGCCAGCGATGCCCCCAGTCTGTGAATGAATGAATAAAGAGATCCCTTTAGCTGCAAGGGACATGTCCAGCTCCCTCTTGAATATATCTAATGAACTGGCCCCAACAGCTTCCTGTGGGAAAGAATTCCACAGGTTCACAACTCTCTGGGTGAAGAAATTCTTCCTCATCCCAGTCCTGAATAACTTACCCCTTTCTCTTAGACTGTGACCCCTAGTTCTGGACTTGCCCAACATCAGGAACATTCTTCCCATATCTAGCTTGCCCAGTCCCATCAGGATATTATTTGTTTCTATGAAATCCTCCCTTCATTCTTCTAAATTCTAGCGAATACAAGCCCAGTTGATCTAAGCTTTCTTCATATATCAGTCTGGCTATCCCGGGAATCAGTCTGGTGAACCTTACTTGGACTCCCTCAATAGTAAGAATGTCCTTCCTCAGACTTGAAGACCAATACTGTACACAATACTCCACGTGTACTCTGCCCTCATGGCAGACTGGTACAAAAGGTGAAGTCACATGGTATCAGGATGAGCTGGCAAGATAGATGCAGAATGGAGGGTTGTGACTAGTGGTGTTCCACAGGGATCAACGTTGGGGGTGGTATATAGGTGTGGATAGAGAATTGACAAATTGCCAGGTGACAGTGAGTGGGGATGAAGGGTTCTTTTTCAGGTTAGTAACCTGTGACTAGTGGGGTGATACAGGGATCAGTGCTGGGACCACAGCTAGCACACAGGAGCAGCAGGGAATCAGGAAGGCTAATGGAATGTTGGAGACAACAAGGTGCAGGGCTGGATGAACACAGCAGGCCAAGCAGCA